AGTACATGATCTCTATATGAGAGCTAGATCTTTAAAAATCCATTGTCCCCTTATCTAATGGTTCCCCTTTAGGACAGTGCAACATTATTTCCTGTTTCTTTTTCTGAAATTGTAGCATTTGTCTAAGAGTTAGCCACAAAATTTTCTAAAAAAGCTGCTAAAATCTGGTGTTTAAAGATTATTTTATGCTGAAGTAAAACACACACATTGAACTGTTTCTGAGCTATATAACTCCACAGTGTTTAGTTGTGCAACTACTAGTCGAATCTAGTTTCAAAACTTTGCATTCCCCTGAAAACACCCTATACCCAATACATAATCACTTCTGGGTCTCACTACCTCCACCCCTTTTGATGAATCTGCTTTCTGTGGGTGCCTATTCAGGATATTTCCTACTTTTTTAATAATAACATGACTTTTTAACTGGCTTCTTCATGGTTTATCGTAGAAGCTCATTTTATTTCCCTTGTAAAAGGAGAGCAAAGAGGATAAGTTATGCCATGTGCTTTAAGAGGGACTGGCCCAGTGCTTTAAGAGGGATCTAAGCCACATGGCTCTTTCTACTTGGGAGCCTTTGGAAGTGGCAGGGATTTGGCATGCACATAGAACTGCGAAGCTGGGAGACATGGGCTGCGTGACTCTTCACTGCTCCCCAGTCTGCTGACCACATCCCCACTGAGTGCTATTCTTCTCTGCAGAATGACTGTGAGTACTGTCAGTACCACATCCAGGCTCAGTACAAGAAGCTCAGTGCAAAGCGGGCTGATCTGCAGTCTACCTTCTCTGGGGGACAGATTCCAAAGAAGTTTGCCCGGAAAGGCACCAGCCTGAAAGAGCGACTGTGTCAAGATGGCTTCTACTATGGAGGAGTTTCCTCCACCTCCTACTTAGGCTCTTTGTAAGATGTTTCTTGGGGTTTCTTTTAGGATAAGGATTTTGCTTGTCTTTTAAGATGAAACTGATGGTTGGATTTTTCTGTATCATGGGATGTTTGTCTAGTTTTTATTGTTAATAGCTCACTGCCTAAAACAAGGACCTCATTTATTTCCATGGCTAGTTGAACACATGGAAGAGAAGGAGACACATGGTGGTCTTACAAAGAGCCCATGTTTTGTGTTTAGTTAGATGTAATGGCACACACCTATAATTCTAGTACTTGGGAGGCTGAGGCAGGAAGAGCATGAGTTCAAGGCTAGGCCAGGCTACAATGGGAAAACTCTGTTTCAAAAATCGAGAAAATACTTAGGAGGTGGAGGCAGGAGAATCTCATTTTTCGACACTGCTGAAAGCAATTCATATACATTATTTTTAAACAAGAATATACAGTTCAACCAAAAAAAGAAAATAAGAACTATTTATCATTCCACCACCTATAAAAATGTTAGTTCCTTAGTTTCCCTTGTCAAATAGTCACTTTTGTCATTATTTTAGTAGCTATACAGTATTTTTTTATATGGTTCTTTTAAACAGTTCCCTATGGGTGAATACTAATGCTATTTCTAGCAACATTTATTTATTTACTTATTCATTCATTTTGATTTTTTTTTGAGGTAGGGTCTCATGTAGCCAAGGTTAGCCTTGAACTGATTCGCTTGCCTCCACCTCCCTAATGCTGGAATTATAGATGTTTATCACCATGTCCAGCTTCTAATAACATTTTAAGTTGAGCTATAATTATGGTATCCTTTTTGCAGTCATTAATTATTTTAATACAGATTGTTAGACTTCTAGATCAAAATAATTAGCTTTTTAAAATATTTTATTTTTTATTTTTATTTTATGTTTATGAGTGTATTGTCTGCATGTGTGTAAATGTACCTGTGTCATGCAATACCCATGGAGGTCAGAAGAAGGCATTGGATCCCCTGGAACTGGAGTTATGGATGATTGTTAGCTGCCATGCGGGTTCTGGAAACCGAACCAGGCTTCTCTGCAAGAGCAGCTAGTGCTCTTAACTGCTAATCCATCTCTTCAACTCTGGTGGCTTTTATTATTACTATTGTTATTGTTATTGTTATTATTCAGCCCTTTAGTTAGGTGTAGTAGTTACTTTTCTGTTACTGTGATAAAACACTGTGCCCAAGAGAACTTATAAAAGGAAGAATTTATTTGAGCTTATGTTTCCAAGGGAATTAGAGTCAGTCATGGTGGGGAGGCATGGTAGCAGGAGGTAACAGGAGCAGGAGCGGAAGGCAGAGTCTCACATCTTCAAGCAAGCACAGGAAGCAGAGAGCTACTGGAAATCCAGCAAGGCTAAAGAACTCTCTAAGCTGGCTGGCAGTGACATGCTTCTTCCAGCATGGCCATGCCTTTGAAGGTCTCCCAAAACAGTGCCACCAAATTGGGACAAGATGTCTGAGTACTTGGAGCCTGTGAGGGACATTCTCATTCAAACCACCATACTAGGTACCTCAAGCAAATCTATAGGTTGCCTGCTCTTCATCTATGAAGCGATATATAAACCAGCTGAGCTATTGAACTGGAGTTAGCAATGCCTGCTTGTGTGGTTCTAAAAGAACTTGGGCAGTTGGTAACTAGTACGTTGAGGATACTCAAGCCTTCATTTTTTTCATCAAAGCATTGCAATTCAGTGGCTTTCTTTCTGTGTTGTTTTTCTTTTCAGGGCAACAGCTGTTGCTTCTAAGAAGAAGGTTCAAACCACTCTGACTAACCTGGTTGTGAAGGGCACAAACTCCATCATCCAGGAAACAAAACAAAAACTAGGTAACTCTCTCTCACCCTTCCTCTCTGCCTCTAGTTTAAACGTGTAGTATTTGGAGTTGACAGTGACTGTCTCTTGTACTCTGGGGTCATCACCTATACTTGGTAGATAATGTGGCGTAGGCTAAAGGAGGAAGCCTGATACAGGACAGGCACGAAAGGAAGCTTCTTATGCTTTCTAAAATTTCTTAATATATATGATCATATTGTCAATATCCTGTATTAGTATCAGGTTCCTGGCTGATTTTATCAGTTCCTTTTGTTAAAATAGGCTAGGTCAGACAGTGCCAGCCCACCTGTACTTGTCCTAACAGTGGCCAGGAACATGCATGGATTCTTAATCATCACTCATATTCCAGAAGTAGTTTGTCACTTGACCCCAGAAACATTGGGGACTTAATGTTCTGATCACTTAGGACACCCTTACTGTCCTACTAGTCTCACCTTGGCAGTTCAAGGTTCTGTATTTTGCCTTGGTATTCTATCTTATTCATTAGCAGGTTACTAAATTATGACTGTGGAATTTATAAGGTAAATGTCACATCACATCAGGCCATTTGAATTCTGAATTCTCTAAAACTGATGGTTACATGTTTCAGGAATTTCCCAGAAGAGCTTGTCTTGCTCTGAGGAGTTTAGGGAATTAATGGCCCTGCCCACATTTGGAGCCAGAAACTTAAAACAACATTTAGCCAAAGCCAAGGCATCAGGTACAGTTGTGTGATTTTGGTGTGGTGTGTTGTGCCCAAGTTGTCTAGGCATCTCCCAGAACCCCTCGGTATGTACACTTGTGTTTTAGGGGTAATGGGAAGCCCCAAACCTGCCATCCAGTCTCTCTCAGCATCAGCTCTCTTGAAGCAACAGAAACGACAGATGTTGGAAATGAGGAAGAGGAAAGCAGAAGAGACACAGAGACGGTGAGAGGCGCAGACTGAACATTTCCCACTTGGATAACTCACCTTGGAGTCCTCAGAATGTCGTAGTAGATTTTTAAAATGTGACTGCTGGTTTTGCTTGGCTACATTTTTGTTATAGCATAAATGTCGTTTGAAGGCTACCCACTTCTAACTTAGGTGACTCCTGGTACATAATGGGTACAGATGAGAATAGTTAACACCACCCTGGAAAAGAGAAAGTATGAGGGGTACGGTGTGATCTTGGGCCTCGGTGCTTTCATCACAAAATGGGAAAGTTCTGGAGTTTGCTGTTTTAAAATCGCTCTTAAAGGTGTCAGATGTGGGGCCAAGGAGATGGCTCAGAGGCTAACGGCACTTGCTACCACACCTGACACCCTGGGAGCCACATGGTAGACAAAGAGAACCGAATCCTGCAAGTTGTCCTCTGACTTCCATGTGTGTGCTGTGGTATGCACACAAATGAGAATAAATAAGAAAAAAAGTGTCAGATATTGTGGCACATGCCTGTTAATCCCAGCTCTTGGGAAGTAGAGGCAGGAGGATTTTAAGTTCAAACAACATAGCACCCCTGTGGAAAAAAGTATAGAGACCTCTAGAGAAGATAAGAGACCTGGCCCTTTGGGATGTTTCAAACAACTATGCTATCTGTAATGCTATCTATAATATTTTTTACTTAATTAAAAGGCTTTTTTCTTACGTATTTTGCTATATTTTCATACTTGACATTTTGCATTAGCTGCTCAGGTTTGAGTGACTGTTTCATATATGTGTACAATGTTTTCATACTTCATTGACATTACCTTAAATAAAATATAAGTAGGTCACTAAAGAAAGGAGGGAAGGAAAGAGACAAAGAGGTCCTAAGTCAGGCTTGGTAGTGCACACCTGTGTCCCAGCATTGTAGAAGCCGAATCAAGAGAACAGCCAGTCCAAAGCCACCCAGGGCTCCAAAGCTAAGGCTGGCTTTGAACTGATCCTCTAGCCTCTGCCCCCCAAATCTTAAAATTATGGGTATATACCACCATGCCAGGCTTAAATTTTTTTAAAATAAAATAGCTTAATTCCATATGTAGCAATATTTCTTATGTAAGATTACAGATTGTAATGCCTTTTTTGTTAAGGATTTCTATTTGCTTGTTTGTTTGTTTTGGTCTTTTTGAGACAGGGTCTCCCTGTAGCCTCAGCTGGCCTGGAACTGACCAGGCTGTCCTCAGTTTCACAGAGATCCGCCTGCCTCAGCCTTGTGAGTGCTGGACTAAAGGTTTACACCACGCCAAGCTGGGATTTATTTTTATTTATTTTTAGTTCTTGAATTCTTGAATTTTAGTCCATTACCCACTCTCATCCTCTGTCCTTGGATAAGGATTTCTAAACATTCCAAATGTATTTCTTTCCCTTAGTGTAAACAGGAAATACAAAGAGATTTCTTTGGGACCCTCTAGGTCTTAGAGCTAGCCACTGACTAGGCTACTTCCACATTTCAACACATTTCATTAGGTGTATGCTGTAGACAACATCCCCTGGAAAGCCGCCTGGTAAAACAATAGTCGGTGATAGAACCACCACAGCATGTTCCAGTAGCCAAGAAATGAAGGTAGTACTGTTCTAAAGTGCTCACTGGAACTGTTAACCAAAGAAAGGAAATTGCCAACAACTAGTTACCCTCTCTTGACTACATAGAATCTCCCAGTCTACTCTTTGAGTTCTAGATTTATCTTTCCAGCCCTGTGTACATATTTTGATTACTTTGGGTTTTTATTTGTTTTTGCTGTATAGGGATGGAACCCAGGGCTTAGGGCATGCTAAGCAAGTGCTGTACCACTGAGACACATCCCCAGCCCCGTATTTTGTTTAAATTTCTTTAAAATTTTCCTTAAAGATTTCTCCAAAGCTCAAGTGAAGTCTGGAGCCCAGCTGTGCCATGTTCATCCCAACAACCTGCTATCCAATCTCAAAAAGGTTCCAAATTCCCCAGGTTGGAAGGAGCCACAACCCCATGGATGCCCAGGCTTGGTCGAGGCATTTTGGAAGGGGATGATGTTCTATTTTTTGATGAGTCACCACCACCAAGACCAAAGCTAAGTGCAGTAGCAGAAGCTAAAAAGGTAACTGGGATCTGGGGAGATGAAATGGCTTAGCCAGTAAAGTGCTTGCTGTCTATGACACTCTGAGTTTGGATCTCTAGCACCCACATGAAAAGCCAGGCACAGTTGTCTATGTCTCTAACTCTGGTTTGGGGGAGGTGGGGAGGCACAGATATCTTCAGATAACAGCCACCCAGCTGTTCTAGCCAGTCAATGAGCTCTGTGCTCAGAGGATGACCCTGTCTCAAAAAATAATGTGGAGAGCAGTGGAGGAAGAAAGATACCTCTAGCCTCTAACACATACACAGAAATAAAGATAGATAGATGATTGATTGATAGATAGATTGATAGATAGATAGATTTTATTTTATTTATTTATTTATTTTGATCTTTTTGAGACAAGGTCTCCCTGTATCCCTGGAGCCCCAGCTGGCCTGGAACTCATAGAGATTCATCTGCCTCCTCCTCTCAAGTACTGGGATTAAAGGTGTGCACCACCATGCCTGGCCTTTTAAATAGTTTTATATTTAAAATGGTAACTGGCTTCTGTTTTCATTAGTTTTGCATTCTGTGTGACAGAGATTAAAACTATATAGTGGGGACCAGAAGAAATAGTCACCCCGAAGCTATTTACCTCTCATGATAAGTAGAGTCAAAGTGATTTTCAATGGTAATGATGTCAACATAATCCCATTAATTGAATCCAAGACAGTGAGAGTCATTATCTGAGTAGAGTTTCTTGGCAGTCTGAAGGAGGCAGCTTCTAGAACCATATTGCTTTGTAGCTGGAGACACTGGCATTGGGCAAAAAATTCTTGGAATTGTTGAGCTAAGACTACAAAATAGTGGTTTAAACCCAGCTTCTTGAACAGGGCTGCAACTTCATATAGGGTCACATAAATGAATGTAGGAGTACTGAAAATTTTGATATTAGTAAAAGGTTTGTGGGCCAAACCTTTTTTGAATGACCAAAAATTCATTCATAATCAAGCACATAATGAGTCCAGACTGTCTCTGACTGCACTCGCCCATATTGATGGAACAACTTCACTACAGGCTTCATTCTGAGCATATAACATGAACATTTTGCACTGCACCACACGACACCAGCAAGCACTGCCTGAAACACCTTAGCTCAGATTCCATACTGTTTTATGTTTTGAATTAAAGTGTTTTTACTATACATACTGTTTTCAGCTCTTATAAAAACTTAATGGCTTAATTACAGCAAACAGAGACATTGAATATTTTCCTGTCCTCCTTCCTCTGCATATAGGTATTAAATTAGTATATCTTTGAAATGTACTGTGTTAGAGCATTTTATTTTTTAAATTATTAAATGAATTTTAGCTTGGGATTAGGACAGACTTTCCAACAATTTCTGAAGTGGCCTTAAACATATTTCTTCCATTTTGTAATACATGGTTATATGAAGCATCATTCTCAATTATAAAATTAAAGTATCAGTAAACTTAATCTCATTAGTATATAATTTGACTTTCTCTAATAAATGGTAAAATTATTTGTATGTAAGTGCACCACACGTGTGCAATGCCCACAGAGGCCAGAAGAATGCATCAGATCTCCCAGACCTGGAGTCACAACTGTTGTTAGCCACCAAGTGGGTACTGTTGTCTGTGATCCACAAATGCCCCAATCAGACAGACAGACAGACAGATAGGTGAGTTGAAAGAAAGAAAGATTTTTTTAAAATTTATTATTTTTATGTGTATGTGTGTACTGCCTGCACGTAGGTGAGTGCACCCATGTCGTGCAATGCCCGCGGAGGTCAGAAGAGGCTGTCGGATCCCCTGGGATTGAAGTTACAGACAGTTGTTAGCTGCCATGTGGGTGCTGGGATTTGAACTTGGGTCTTCTGCAAGAACAACCAGTGTTCTTAACTGCTGAGCCGTCTCTCTGGCCCAAGAAAGAAAGATTTATTACAGCCAGGCTACACTCTTTCCTAGAGGGTCCAAGTGCAGCCCAGAACCTAAGCACTCTGGTTCTTATATATTGCTCATGTTGCTGAGCAAGCAAGCAGAATACAGAAGCCAATCATTGAGTGTTAAGCTTGAGCAAACGTTACCAAGGAAATACATAAGAAAATACAATTTTCCACCCAAACCCCTCCACCTGAACCATAGTACCACCTGCACGGAACTAGCTTCCTCCTCTTTCATAAAGAGACATTATCAATCTTACTGTTATTCTACATTGGTCATGGTACATTGCCTTTGCTGGTCACAAAGTTCCCTCTAGGGAGGTGGTGTTGTATAGCAATTGTATCCTAAGAACCTGATCTTTTAAAGTTTCCATAAGTCTTCCAACCTGCTGTAGGGTACTTCTTGTACAGAGAAACTATAACCAGAAGTGAAAAGTTTAAGTTCCCAAGCTTACAGGTGGAAAGTTTCTATTCTATTAAGCAACAATTACTATTTTTCAGAAGCAAGCCAAGCATAACCTACAGAAGCCATAAATCAGCAGTTAGCAGGAGCACTGTAGGACACTCTGACCTGTTCCCAAGACAACAAGGGTCTAGCTGGCATGTGTTCCCATATCCTGGGCCAACTGCCTGATAATTTCAGAAACTAGAGTCAGCCTAAACTTCAACATGATATATCTATGGTCAAGAAGGTGCCCCATTACAGGTACTAAGAATTGAATACTGATCCTCTGGAAGAGCAATGAGAGCCCTTAAACTGCTGAGCCATCTCTCCATAATTCTTAAAAATAAATCTTGGTTAATCCCAGCACTCGGGAGGTGGTGGCAGGAGGATCTCTGTGAGTTCAAGGCCAGCCTGGTCTACAAAGCAAGTTTCAGACCAGCTGGGGCTACAGAGAGACCCTGTCTCAAAAAGACCAAAGAAAAAACAAAAAAACAAATCTCAGGCCAGGAAGATAGATCTGTGAGTAGAAGCACTGATGACCTGAATTCCATCCCCATGTCCTATATGGTGGAAGGAGAGAACTGACTCCCAAAAGTTGTCCTCTGACCTCTACATACTCTCTGTGGCTTCTGTGTATGTGCATGCACACAAATAAATTAAAAAAGAATTTTTTTTTTAAAGAAGAGGAAAGAGCTGGGAGTGGTGGTGCATGCCTTTAATCCTGGCACTCAGGAGGCAGAGGAAGGAAAATGTCTGTGAGATCAAGACAAGCCTGGTCTCCATAGCAAGTTCCAGGACAGTTCGAGTTGTAGGAAGACCCTGTCTCAAAAAAGGAAAGAAATCTTAGAAGCCCTGTCTGGTCAGCTCAGATGAAAGCTGAGTTACTCTAGCTACATTTAGTTGAGGGTACCCATACACCACCTATTTACTTCCTGAGTCTAACTGAGCCTTTCTCTCCTTTTTCTAGTTTCTATTTATAAGCTTACTCAAAACTAAAGCCATATACCTATAATAACAGTACTAGTGGTTCAAAAATAGCAGTTGCATATATTGTTGTATGTTACTCTTCCTGTATTGTTAGTATGCTGCCTGCGTACAACATGTACCCTTGCCTCCATTATCTGATTCCATCCATCCAGTCATGACCTTAGACAGACCAGTGTCATTACCACATTTTGTAAATGTAGAAACTAAGGCTGAGAAATTAAGTGTTTCCTATGGTTCGTGCTAGTCAGAGCTAGTACTAGAATTCTGTAAGATTCTCAAGCTTGCAAAATGGTCATGTGTTTGTTTTCCTTACAGATCTGGAAATATATGGTCTGACTGATGTTAAATAGTTTATATTAAATTTAAATGAGCTGTTTATAGACCTTTTTCTGTTACCTGCTTTAGCCTTATTTGTATTCTATCAGATTTTAATAATTGCGTTTTTGCACTTATTTTGTATGTGTGTACATACACATGCAGGCATGCCATGGCCCATGTGTGGAGGTCAGCAGACAACTTCTAGGAGTTGGTTCCTCCTTCTACCATGTAAGGTCCAGAGATCAAACTCAGACTATCAGGACATTTCACCAACCTGATAATTGTGGGGGTTTTTGTTTTGTTTTGTTTTCATGGTAAAAAAGTAATTTATTAAAGAAATACAATGGCTAAATTAGATTCTTTAGGTATATATGTGATATAATCAACTTAGAATAACTCAAAATCTAGTGGTGTAATGAAGTTGTTTGAAAATTACAAACTGTTTACTATGCTTAAAACAATGCCAGGATTTTACTAACACATCAGCTGTAAAATGAGTGTAACAATTTTTAATAACAAAAGGATTCCTAACATCTCCCCTCTACTGCATATTTCTTAAATCCTTTTTTAACGAGTAGAAATAGGCAGCCAAACAATAATGGTTTAATCTGTTGCAAGTCTACCAAAAATTCAGAAGACATGACGTGACATGAACTGGCTGTAAGCTGTATCACAACTCAAGGACGTTAAGCCCTTTGTAGCTAAAACAAAGAACAATGCTCTAGTTGGTGAGGAAAATAGCTAATGAATAGATAAACGGGTGGAGGTGGAGAATGAACCCAGGAACACAGTATTACCTATTCAGCTTGGAAGAATCATTCGCTTTATTTAGTTTTAAGAATTTGACTAAATTAACGAGCTCAATCTCTGCCTTCAAAATGCCTCAGCCAGATAACTATTAGACATTTTTTTAGTGAATAATTCACACTGTATTCTGTCACCAAATGTGGTGTCTAAAACCTTTGACTGTGGATCAGCTGTCCTGTAGGAGCATCAGCCACTTTTAATATAAGCAGTGGGGATTCTCTTTCTGGTTTTACAGGCACTGAACTCACAAGATGATTACTAGAAAAAGCAGACTTAATGAATTCTGAGTATTATTAAAGACAGTTGCAGTGTAAGAGACCACGTCCTACCATTTCCCTCTTCTAGCATCAACTGTCTTCTCAAGTGAGTCAGCAAAGAATGTATGAGCTAGTATAATCCAACAGAAATGAAGAGTGATTTAGTTCTGAGTGTTTTTTCTCAGTTGTGATATGTAATAAGTCACTCCCATCATCCAGAATACAAAGGCCCTTACACACCACTATAGAAATTTTAACACAGAACAGTAGAAACTGTCATTCATTAGAAACCTCATGATAGTCAAAAACAAGATCGAAGAAAATCCATGAAGCCAAAACCCTCAGAATCCACATGCTCATCTTAACTCTAAATTGCAATGCTACTCATACATTTTACCATATAGTCATTTCTTTTCAAAACATACAAATGAATGCATGTATTTTAAAACACTACTCTTTATAGTTAAGGACTTTACATTAACTTGTATATTCTACCTAGCAAGATGTCTGATGTCTTCCAAATTAACTTACATTCCAAAAAAACAATACAAACTCATGATATGCTTGTGATCACTGGGCCTGTTTATGGCTACATTTCCTGTTTTATTTTAAAAGCTTAGCAGTATCTGCAAAAACGAATTTTTTCCTACAACCTGTTAACTGACTGGACTGAGGGTAACAAAGTAATTGTGGGAGCCATGCTGGTCAAAAATTTGGCATCTGCTGAAAAAACATGCCATTTTCAAGTTCCCAAATTACTTCTATATTGATTTCACTTTCTAGAAATGGAGATAAGGAAAGATTCTCTGGAATACTTGAAAGACTTAATAGAAATCCATGGAACCAAGTTAGTTTTAGAACAAAATATACTTCTTGCAGAAGACCCAGGTTTGAATCCCAGCACCCACATGGCAGCTAACAACTGTCTGAAACTCCAGTTCCAGGGGATCCGACACCCTCTTCTGTCCTCCGTGGGCATTGCATGACATGGGTGCCCTTACCTACATGCAGGCAATATACTCATACACATAAAATAAAAATAATATTTTTTAAAAAATTGTAACCATTAGAGAAAAGAATTCTAGTGTGTCATCAAGAAATAACTAAGTTTTTACTCAAGAACACATGCTGTGGAATTATAGTTAGTGGGTAATTTGATAGTTGTATTTTTAATGCTAGGTAAAACAAAACGTTACATCATGCCAGTTTCTACTAGAGAACAAGAGGGTGTTAGCTGCTTGTCTCCTCTTTTTGATTCTTCCCATTCTTTCTTCTTTTTCTAGTTAGCCACTATTGCAAAATTAAGGGCAAAAGGACAGATTCTTAGAAAAGCAGATCCAAACAATATTGTAAGGAAGCAGATGGACCCCCAAGATGTGCTGGAAGTGAAGCAGCGCGTAGAGAAGAACACAGTTTCTCCTGAAGGTATCACAGTCAGTGGTGGGAGAAAGATCCCGTTTATAAGGAAGTATTCTAGTGTTTCAGCTTTTTGAAACAATCTAAATAGCCCAAACTGGCCTTGAACTGATCTTGAACTCAGTATCCTCCTGCCTCAGCCTCCTGAGGGCTGGGATTATAGTCATGTACCACCATGCCTGTCTCTTGGAGCTATTCTTTCATAATCAAATTAACTTGAAATTCTGCACAAGGTAAGGAAAGGAATGTTCACTGAATCTTTACATATTTATATTGTCATAAAGATTTACTTGGAAAGGAATAGAATTCCTTTGTTTGTAATTTGATCTAAAGTTCTAAAGTTGATGTCATTTAAAAGCACCTAAGTAGGATTTTTGTTGTTATCTGTTACCATAACCAGAAGAGAAGAGCTTTCTAAGTTCACAGTCAAGCATGCCTCCTCGTCTTCTAGACTAGACAAGATTTCAGTAAGTAGCCCAGGCTAGCTTCAAACTTGTAATCTTCCTGTCTCACATTCCTCAATTCTGGAATTATAGGCACATGCCATTGTGCCCAGCTTTCTTTTTACTCTTGAGGTCACCTCTGCTGGTACTAACTGGGGTTTGTCAAGGTTAAAGGGCATAGGAGGCAGAGAGAGGAGAAGGAAACAGAATGGAGGCACACCAACTTTCTCAAACTTCTCAGTAGCAGTTAATGTTTTTCCTCTGCTTCAGCAGAGAATGAATTGGAGCCCGCCAGGAAAAAAAGAAGAGAGCAGCTTGCCTATCTGGAATCTGAGGAATTCCAGAAAATTCTAAAAGCAAAGTCCAAGCACACAAACATACTGAAAGAGGTAAGCACCCAAAAGTTGGGAGATGTCAGTGTCCTTCAAACCAAGGTGCTTTGTTGAAAGACTAAGAATCTCTTATATAGGCCAGGAAGTAGCACTGTGACCATATGGTTTGTTTTGAAGAGCCTGAATATTTCAGATACATTTGATTTGTATATTGTGGGCGCACGTATGCCATGGTGCATGTGTGTAGGTCAGAGGACAGCCTTTTGAGTCAGTTCTCACCTACTGTGTTGAGGCAGGGTCTCTTGTGCCGCGTACTCCACAGTAGCTGTCTCACAAGCTTCCAGGCAATTCTTCCATCTCTCCATAGGAATGCTGGGATTATTGATGTACAATACCATATCAAGCTTTTTATGTGGTTCTGGGATCCTAATTCCCATTGTCAGGCTTATATAGCAAGCCGTCTTACCCACTATGCCTTCTCCTCAGACACATTTTAGTTTACATTTGTCCTTGCCCTGAAGATCAGCAATTGATTTATTGTTATTTAAATAGACTACTGTGTTATCAAAATTTTTACACATGGAGAGGTGGCTCAGAGGTTAAGAGCACTGACTGCTCTTGCAGAGGACCCAGGTTCAATTCCCAGTGCCCACATGGCAGCTAACAACTATTCGGAATTCCAGTTCTAGGGGATCTAATGCTCACTTCTGACTTCCACAGGCATTGCACAACATGGGTGCACATACATGCAGGCAATACACTCATAAACATAAAATTTTATGTTTACATATAGTTATGACTATAAATTACATTGAAATGGGCTACTTGCTGTTTTACTTCCTGCAACATGAGGGATTTTTTTTTTCATTTAGGTATTTTTACATTGGCATTTCAGATGCGCTCAATCAGTTAACCCCATCACTCCCAGTCCCTCTTTTAATAACAAGTATGTTATATTGCTTAAGTTTTTGTGGATAATATAAATTGCCTATACTTGTAGTTTCAAAGATACCAATGTAATTTACTAATATAAGAGAGAGTATATATTTCATCATGTAAATAATTATAGCTTACCCTAGAAGAGTAATGATGTGGTCCAAGGCTTAAATTTGGTAGCATAAATGAGACAGCTAGAAGTGAGGGTTCAGGTAGATGTGTTTTCTTAGTAACTTAAGTATCATGAATGTGATTTTTTTTTTTTTTTAATGATGGAATTTTTTAGGAAAAAAATAAAAACAGTAAGTTAGGCATAGTGGCAGATGCTTGTAATCTCAGTACTCGGGAAACTGAGACAGGAGGTTCACTGAAAGTTTGAGGTAAGCCTGGGCTACATACTGTATTTAAGGCCTACCTGGGCAACATCGTGGGGCCGTATCTCAATAAAATGGAATTATTCTGGGGAACCTGAACATAGTTGTCCCTCAGTGTACATAGGAGCTACCTAGTTGTACTCTTGAAATATTCTGTGTATGTTAAAACCATGCACAAATACCGTTACGTTGCATAGAAAACTCTTCTGGTCCATGGAGACTCCTATGCAGTGCAGAAAAAGTAGCACCCTGGTTTCTGGCAGGGGTAGAGATGGCACTCGTTTGAATAACAGAAAAGTGTGCCAGATTCCCAGTGTCCCGTAGGGAGTGCGACTGCTCTAAATGTCTGTTTTTCTCGTTGGTTAATAACGAGGGAGGCAGTTATAAATCATGTTTCTACTGGGCTAAAACTCAGGAAGGAGAGATACTAGTGCCAACCAGAAGTATATAGAACTGAACTCTCTCTCCTTGTGCTCCCAAAGGTACTGCACCTTCTTGCCCTGTGTAGCTGCACTAACTCCGAAGCTGTGTTGTCATTCCACATAAACGTCTCCCTGCCCCCATCCCTATTTCCTGTTCCAAATGTCTAGGAAGTTCCACTTAGTGCTTTTGTGAAGACCAGTAGGGAACAAACAAGGTGGTCATTCCTAGGGGCCTTGCACACCTTCCCTGTGTGAAGTCTATGTTATAGCAATTCCCTGCTAACACATATTCAATACTAGTGACTCTGTTAATAATGGTAGTGATTTAGATTTGAAAATACTATTTTAAAACTCAAGTGCAGGGGCTGGAGAAGTGGTTCAGCAGATGAGAGCGCACACCTCTTTTGGTGGAGGACCCATGTTAGGTGGCACACAACTCCCTATAATTCCAGCTCTAGGGAATCCCCCACCCTCTTCTCACTCCCATAGGCATTGCAGTCACATACACAAACCCACACTTGACATATGTATACACAATTTAAATTTTTAAAAAAGTAAAATACTTTCAAGTCTTTTTTGTAGCCCCAGCTAGCCTAGAACTTGCTATGTAGACTCGGCTGGCCTCAAACTCAGAGATCCTCCTGTCCCTGCCTCCCCAAGTGCTGAGATTAAAGGCATGTACCTGGTTTTTCTTTCATGTTTTAAGGGTTCTTTTCTACTTATTATTATCATCTGATTTACAGTTGAATGGAGTACTTGATGTAGAGTTCTCTGAAATTTAACCTGTCTCTTCAGTTCTATTTTGATGATTATTGAACTGAATCACTGGAGTCACTGAATTGTTCTGAGCGTGTATTGGATTTGGTACAATCTCCCCTGTGGTTTTGTCCCTCAGACTGAGGCTGAGCTGCAGGAATCCTATTTTGAGCCACTGGTGAAAAAAGAACAAATAGAAGAAAAAATGAGAAACATCAGAGAAGTGAAATGCCAAGTAGTGACGTGCAAGACGGTACGTGCAAGGCAGGGGCTTCAACCTTGGGCCCTGTTTTGTGAGGGGCAGTTCAGCAGGATATTGGTAATTGTGGGATATTGGACTATATCTTGTAGCATATCATTTAATTGGGCTGGAAAAGAAACAACCTAGGATAGACTAGGTTAGTGCTCGTGCTCCCTGCCTGAGGGGGATCATGGAGCTCTGTAGTGGAGCATTTGTAAGGGAGAGTCTCCTGTTTGACCACTGGCTTCAAGTGTTCCTAGTATTCTTTGTCAAGCTCTGACAAATCTTAACATACTACTGACCGTCCAGAGTTTGCTATCCCTGCGACTTTGACTGAACTTTAAAAAAAAAATTTTTTTAGTCTCACTATATGGCCCAGACTGGCCTTGAACTTGCAACCTTTTCCTTCAACCTCCCAAATGCTGGGAGTAGAGGCATGTACCCACTCCACCTTCCTAATATTCCCAGTGTCAAACAATGTTATTATGTACTTCGTACAAGATTGGAAATGAAGGCAGACATTAGAAAATGAGATATTGGTATAAGGGAGAATCAGGAGATCCACTTGAGCCTAGTGTGGTGACTCATGCCTTCAATCCTAACACTTGGTAGGCTGAGACAGGAGGATCACATGAGCATGAGTTCAAGACCAACCTAGGCAACAGAGTAATGCCCTATCTGGAAAAGAAAAAAAAAACAAAACTTTGCAATTAGTTGGTTAAGGTCACAGCAGTAATATCAGTGGTAATAGGAGGGCTAAAGGTCTCTTGCCCTGACAATAGCTCCCAGGTCCTCCCGCAAAGCTGCTCACTGGACATGTGGTCTGTGTTGGTCTGTGCAGTGCGCCTACACCTACTTTAAGCCTCTGGAGACCTGCATCAGCGAACAGCACGACTTACACTGGCATGATGGTGTGAAGAGGTTTTTCAGGTGTCCCTGTGGAAACAGGACTATCTCCCTTGACAGACTCCCAAAGAAGCACTGCAGGTATGAGAAATGTTCATATATGATACTTCCTATACGGTACCTGGGAACATGAAATCATCATCCCACGCCTTCTGATAGCTCCTCATATCCCTGAGACTAGAATTGGGGTTTTTTTGTTGTTGGGTTTTTGGTTGTGTTTTTTTAAATATTTTATTTATTTCATTTTATATGTATGAGTATACTGCCTGCATGTATGTAACTGCACATGTTGTGCAGTGCCGCAGAGGTCAGAAGAGGGCATCAGATTAACCTTGGAACTGGAGTTATAGATGGTTGTTAGCTGCCATGTGGGTGTTGGGAATCGAATCCAGATCCTCTGCAAGAGCAGTCACTGCTTTTAACTGCTAAGCCATCTCCAGCCCCCAAACTAGAATTGTTAATTGAGACCCCTAA